TTTTGATGCTGAGTGCTATTGATCTCCACACAGACTTGAGGGTAATGAAAGCTTGTCTTGCTTCCCCCGATCCTTGTTTTGATATCCTCGTCAGTTCATTCCGCCTGTAGTTGAAACGATGCTTCCTGCGTAGGTAAAGGAGGTTGCTTTTTTCAGGTTCCTCCCATTTATGCTGATTGTTGTCTGTTGTTGTTGTTGCTGTTGGTGTTTCCCAGGAATCTTCATCACCTCTGTTTTCTCTATGTTTACCCGAAGTCCCATCTTTGATGCTTCTTCTGTCAACTTGTTGCTTTTCACTTGCATATCTTCCAGTTTGTGGGAAATCAGACAAATATCATCAGCGAAGTCCAGATCCTCCAAGTATTTTGTGTGGGCCCATTTTATGCCAGTTTCCTCGCTGCTCTCTGCCTGTTGCATAATCCAATCTACCGCAATCAGGAAAATCATTGGCGATAGTAGGAAGCCTTGTCTTACTCCCGTCTTTACTAGTTCGAAGTTAAGCTCCTTAACTAATGAGACTAAGTTTCATTAGAGATATATAGACAGTACATAGTGTAAGTTATGACATACCTATGTTAGCGACAAATACGATTGTAGTCCATGAATAAAATTTGTACATTTCCCACAAAAATCCAAGACATCTTACAAACTTAACAAGGAAGGCTATTTCACACATTTTGCAAGTCAATTCGGTGTGTTTCTAATGTGAAGAAGAAGCAATACGTTGCCAACTATGTAACAGAACTTCTTTACACACAAATAATAAATAAACAGTTGCAGAAGCAATAGAGAAAAGATAACTTCTCGTGAATAGAGGAATGAAGGTGCTGATTGCAAAAGCAGATTGGAATGTAAAGTTTAGTATTTCATGAAGAGTTTTTGTGAATTATCCTAAGGAATAGTCCACTTTTCTGCAAACTGGACTTTTTTCCTACACTGGTATATATTTATTAAGCTTGTTAGCAGTGATATAATTTGTAAAACCTAATATAGTAGGTTGTTTCGTTCTATACTAACACGCTTACAAACCCTAACACCTCCGATTTAGCAAAATGGTTACTTCTTATTGAAACTACCTTTATTTGACTAGAGAGTACAACTGGTTGGCGACCTTCGCGTGGACACTCTAAAGAAAAGAATATCAAACGCTCTAAAAACAATATGCTTTACATCTACATTAAGATTGGAATTCTCCTGTCGCTCAATGTTCTCCTATAACTCGACCAAAATAAACAATAGCATTTTACCACTTTTATGAGTATTTACCAATCCAACTGTTTATGTGGAGCAAGATATAGAGATCGTTCAATGCGTGTTCTTTCTAAAAGAGTCAAAGGATATTATCCAGCGTGTTTACAGAAACGTAACAATGGATAAATACTAAGTGCTAGGGGTCGCACTATTTCGTGAATTGGCAGAAGTTAGAATTCATGGGCTATTGGATAGGGTTCTAGTGGCTTAATGATCTACGAGCTCGCTAGCCTTGTAACCAGAAGGTCCTGAGTTCAAACCCCGGTGGGTACGTACCGATGAAAAGTCCCAAACTAGGACGAAACAGCTGTCTAGTACTCCCAACTGGTTTTCCAATGGTTCTCTAACTAATGTCAGCTCATGATGAAATCCTGTAACCAATCAAAACCCTACAAACCAACAGTTAAATGGCTAAGTGCTTAAATTGAACACTGGCCACTTAATGTCTAAAGAAAATCCACTCAAAGATATATCCAAATCCAAAAGAAACCTCACAAAACAGAAGAAACTTTTCAGTCTCCACCTTCTAATTTGACCATAATTTACAACTCGATTATTATCAATGTTTTGCTATTAATACTTATTTTCATTTTTCGCACGACAGTCATTAACATCATTTCCTTAACTAACCTTTTGTACACTCTATGCGCCTGTTACATAATATGTTTTGGGACTTTTCTCTTTGCTTTTTCATTAACACCTATTTTTTTCCTAACATTTCTTCATATTACGCAATCTTTAGAGTCTAAACTTACTGATCTTCACCACCCTGGTTACAATCTGATTAGTCTTCACTGATTTGAAATATTTTAATGATTTAAACAATATTTTAAACTAATTTATTCTTATGTTATATTATTTTGCCAAGTTGACTGTACATACATAAACAAAAATAACCATATAAATTTGCAATTGTACAGCTAAGTGAATGAATTCATTAAAAAGAGTTTCTTTGCTGAACTACTTGTGTATTATTTCCTCATATGGATGAGTATTTTCTGCGAATTAAACAGTTTTCAACAAATAATATTAGTGATGTCAGGTATTTTCTTTTGACGATTCTCTTCTCTTAAACATGCTAAAGAAATTAATCATTTCTATCATGGTGGATAGATTTGTGTACTAAATTAGAAAGACGGTGAAACTAATTAAGTGTGAGGGTGAACTAGGTTATTAGTGAATAATTCAGTGTGTATCACAGTCAACCATTTAAAAATACAGTGAAGGTGAAGTTCATTAGATTAGGCAGTCGACTTTTAACCAGCGGGATGAAGGCTTCGAATCCCAATCTCCACCTAGCATTACTAACCTCTTACATGATATACGTTTTGGGACATTAGTAATTGCATGAAAATGTGAGTGATTTGTATGGATGAAAAATGAACAAAACGTTTGAGGATATTAAGGTTGTATCATACACAGGGAGAAGTTAATTAAAGTGAAAATCAATGTGCACCGTGATGGCGAGCTACCTAGAATGGTGGCCACATTGCAAAACCTGACTGATAGAATTCAGTCTGCACCAAAGAAAGAACTAGACACATCACAGTAGTTACTAGTGTCCAATCAGCTCGGAGAACACTATTAATTGCAGAAGTTAATTAGTTCATCATAATTAAAACACTACTGAGAAAACAACCACTTGCAGTTGGGAATGAGCCACACCTATTGCGTGAAGGCTATTGATACTGTGTTGAGAGCTGTCTGCTAGCAAAATTGGTAGACAGCAATTTACATCAATATTTACATCCAAATCTACGGTATGAGAAAAGAACAAGCACAAAGACTAACTCAACAACCAATCACAACAGACTTTGCGTGGGTGGATATGATTCGCAGATATATGGTTTGACCTTCAAAGAAATGGCCACAAAGAGATAGCAGAATAACTTTCAACGAGGAAACAACCAATCAGAAGACATTGTTTCTCTGATAATGATAACAACGAATAATAGTGTAAATAAAAATCTATAATTATCCGTTGATTTTCTCAATAAACGATCTGTTGCCTGGCCCTTGTCTTCTGTCGTTGCGACACTACCACTTGGTTATTCAAACCTCGATAGGTGGAGAGGGGTTCGAACTATGCAACCCATGAACACAACACTTAAAAAACTTTATGAATAATTCAGTGAATCACGCAGCTTTTGTTTATTTATGCAGTACCTTGTAAGTGAAAATATGATGTTGATGAAATAACCTAACGTAAATAAAGAATTCAGTAAAACTTTTAACATGCTAAAATTGAAGTAGTGAGCTATTAATATAAGACTTATGCCTTATAAAACATAAATCTTATGTACTAATCAAATGTAACAAACCACAAATTTTACCTAAACAAAAAAAATTAAATAAGAAAACCTTTTGCAACTAATATAGACTGTCAACTTTTAGTCTCACCATCAATTACTGTCAATCTGACAAACAGATTAGATTTGAAAATAACTAACATGCAAACAGACAGAAATAAATAGAAGCCTTGATATTAAATGCGTACCAGTCCAAGATGTCACAATTCATATTAACACATCGAATAAGTCAACAATGAACATCTAATGAATTCAATTGTACTCATGAAGTAAGATCATTAAATCACAAGTTTCCAACACAGTTTAGACAAACAGACAGGCATCACAGAGACACCGTAAAGATAAAGAGATGGTATGCCCATCTAACTGCCAACATATCACACCAGAGTAGAAACTGAGAGAAATCAATAACTAATAACTGTAAAACTGTTCAATAACCTTCTTAAAGCAGTACATAACTCAGTGTATTAAATATAATGAATCTACTGGCATTTTAAGACCTCATCACTATATTATATACATACATGATAACATCAATCATATAGGGAAAATATTCATTCAGACATCCATAAAACACAAAATAATTGAGCACAGAATATCCTTTTCGATAATTCCCTCTTCTGGCTCTGCAATTATATATATATATATACAGAATATTCTAGATTAATAGTCAATAACAATATTAGTGTTTTTAAATAATATCTATTTGTAAAGTAAGATCAATGGAATTAAAATTTATTAAAATACTTAAATTTTAATGATAATAAAGATATAATAGCAACTAGAATATCAATTAAAATTAAGGAAATTTTTACAAAAATTGAGGATCATTCGGACCTAGATGGCCAAGGTAAGGATAATGTCTGAACTAACTTCTTTTGGATGCAAAAATTAGGCTTCTTAATATGGATCTCATCTTGTGGATAGAAAACACAAGACTGATGTTAACCAGGCTTTCAGAGTTATTCACCGCATAGCAACAAATCTCAATTTCGCTTTAAGAGTTCGACTACTAAATATTGCTGAGGCTGGCTGGCCGTTGGGATCCAAATTAAGAAGCCTAATTTATGCGTCCAGAAGAAGCCAGTTCAGACATTATCCTTACCTAGGCCATCTAGGTTCTAATAATTCTCAATTTTTGTGGAATTTTCCTAATTTTAGTTGATATTCTAGTTGCTATTATATCTTTATTATCATTAAAATTTAAGTATCTTTAATAAATTGTAATTCCATTGATCTTACTTTACAAATAGATATTATTTAAAAACACTAATATTGTTATTGACTACTAATCTAGAATATTCTATGTATATAATTGTAGAGCCAGAAGAGGGAATTATCGAAAAGGATACTCTTTATTCAATTATCATTCATAGAGTTGATGCAAATTATAAATCATTCAAAGAAATGAAGAGTAGAAACAAAAATGTACAAACTAACTTGTAAGTACTTCTTCGGTATAGATGTAGTTGTTTCTGATTGAATAAACATTACATTATCAGCTTCTTGGGAAAGTTTACCCCCACCGTATAAGCTGTTTATTGTAAGCAGACGATTAACTTCTTCCTGTTAAGAAGAAAAAAAGTTTGATGAATTGAATTTTAAATTCTCTCGTCGATTGATTGGACCGAAGTACTCAGTCTCATGTTGACATGTCGGCGGCTTCTTGTGCAGATGCTTCGACGATGTCTGGGCATGTAATTGGAAGTGAACTGGTGGATGGTGACTAGCAGTGGGATCCAGCCACGATGCGCATTTCGTCCTAATTGAACTCGTCAGCCAACTGGATGTACCTGCATTTCCCAGTCAGTGGGTGATGATGTTCCTCCCGACCGAAAGCTGCTACCTTGACGTGGTGGTCGGGCTTGAACACCGCAATGACCTAATCAAGCTATACTGGCTGAGACTTATGTCTCTTGAGGTTCTACCATGCCAGGCAGGTTGTTTGGATAGCGGTTAAACAAAAAGCAGCTACCCCATCCAATACCATGATTCAAACAAATTCACAAAATTTCATGCCGGATCGGCCGTGGCCCGGATTAACAACGACCGCGCTTCCTGCTGCCGTGTCACAGGGCAGGAGTGATAAGTATGCTACTGAGGCACACCAAACAAAAAGAACAAACAAAAACAGGCCGCGTGTGACCGGCCTCAAGCAGTTGTCCCCTGGGCTCTGCGGTCACGCAACCAACTTCCACGGTGTGGGCAGCCGGGAAGTAACAAACGCCCTCACAATCCGAAATGCACACAAAACCTCTCTAATCCTCACTTATCTTTGTCTTCATCTTCATCTCTATTACCTTGCCTTCCTCCCATTGATGCAACTCCTCTACTTGATGGCTCCTCACTCCCTCTTCACTCTGTGTCCACTAAAAACGACGAAAGCCAAAAAACCACCACCGATAGTCTCCTAAAGCCACGCCACCAATTTCATATAGGAGCATTTAATGTTAGGACACTTTGCCAAATAGGACAACAAGCATCACTAGCTAAGACCCTGGCATCCGAAGCCATTGATGTATGTTGTGTTTCAGAAACACGCATACAAGACCCAAGTGTGGTTATTCACCTAACCCCACCTGGCCAACAGGATGAATCTTCAAAATTCACCTTGAGGGTGTCAGGAGATGCCACAGCTAGTTCACGAGGATTAGCTGGCGTAGGGATAGCTTTGAGTACTAGGGCAGAAAAGACATTGCTTGACTGGATCCCAGTAGATAGCCGAATGTGTGCTGTCCGTCTGAACGGATCAGTAAGAAGGAGAAAGGACTGCACTACTCGCCGATGCCTTTTCGTAATCTCCGCCTACGCCCCCACTGACTGCAGTTCGGATGAAACGAAGGATGAGTTCTACCAAAAGCTGTCTAGTTTGGTGAGAAAGGCTAAACGCTCAGATATAGTCGTTCTAGCTGGTGACTTTAACGCTCAAGTAGGGAAATTGTGTCAATCTGAGAAGGATGTCGGTGGCACCTATGGAGTTCCGTGCCAGCGAACCGACAACGGTGACCGTCTCCTACAGTTCTGTTCAGATAATCATTTGTTTCTTGTAAGCACTAACTTTAAACACAAGGAGAGACACTGTTTAACCTGGCGACCCCCATCATCAAACCAACGCTGGACACAAATAGACCACATAGCAATAAGCTATCGTTGGCGTGGGTCGGTAGGAGATTGTCGCTCCTTCTGGAACACGTGTGTAGATACCGATCACGCACTGGTCCGGGCTCGTGTGTGCTTACGACTGAACGGACGTAGGAAACAGCTGGCGGTAAAACCATCACGTCCCCAGCTCGATCAGGAAACTAAATCCCTATTTGAGGAAGAACTAGCTAAACGCATATCTGAATTCGACAGCTGTGCTCACCCTGGAGAAGCCTGGAAGAATATTCAGTCAGCTATAGATACAGCTGTAAAAGCTGTGAATAAGGCAAATCCAAAGGTGAGTAAAAACCACTGGATTTCGACTGCCTCATCCGAACTGATAGATGCTAGAAGACTTATTCCGGCGAGCTCCGAATTCAATGAGGAGCGAAAGCTGCACAAAAGGAAACTTACTAAAAGTCTCCGCAAGGACCGTGAACAGTGGTGGGTGACAAAGGCGAAAGAGATGGAAAAAGCATCGGCGATAGGCAACACTAGGCAACTCTTTAGACTCATCACAGAATCGGGCGGGAGAAGGCAATTCATAAGTGAGACTATTTCTGAGAAAAATGGCTCCTTAATTAGCTCTCAGGATAGACGCCTTGAACGCTGGAAAGAACACTTTGAGGAACAATTTAACTTGCCTACAGCCACACTGAACCTCCCCGCCATCCACCACGTACCCGAATGGGATATAGACACTGGTCCGCCGTCTGTAGGTGAGGTTACAAAAGCTATCAGTAATTTGAAACGAGGCAAAGCGGCAGGACCCGACGGAATTATTCCGGAGGTGTTTAAATATGGGGGTGACATACTAGTTTGTAGATTAACTGAGGTACTAGGCAAAGTCTGGGAATCAGAGACAGTACCATCAGACTGGGGTAAGTCACTTATTATACCGATATTCAAGAAGGGAAACAAGTCCTCGTGTGATAATCATAGGGGGATCAGCCTAACGAACATAGTCTCTAAAATCCTAGGCTCAGTAATCATGCATAGACTAAGCAGAACTCGGGAGGAACAGACAAGGGAAAATCAAGCAGGCTTTAGACCAGGTAGAGGGTGCATAGATCATATCTTCACTCTTCGACAGATTCTAGAACATAGACACACTTTTCGGCGTCCAACAATTGTCATATTTCTTGACTTGAAGGCGGCCTTCGACTCCGTGGATCGAAAGGTACTATGGCAATGTCTGACTGTGAAGGGAGTGCCAAGAAAGTACATTGCACTAATCAAGGCACTCTATTCAAACTCACGTAGTCGTGTAAGGGCTTATGGGGAATTGTCATCTGAATTGGTAACAACCAGTGGTGTCCGACAGGGATGTCCACTTTCCCCATTTCTGTTTAACTTCATCATAGATATCCTGATGGAAGTATCCTTAACTGAACGTAAAGACTTAGGAATCGACTTGTTACCAGGGAATAATCTTATGGACTTAGAATATGCAGATGACATAGTCCTGTTAGGGGAGGATGCTGACAAAGTGCAGAGTCTTCTGAACACCTTCATCAGCCATCTCCGTATGTTTGGCATGCGATTCGCCCCTGTCAAATGTAAGATGCTGCTACAGGACTGGACTACGTCAACTCCTAGCTTAGTGATAGGGAGTGAAGTGATAGAACATGTTGACCACTTCACGTATTTGGGAAGTGGTATCAGCACCAACGGACTGATTGGCTGTGAAATCTCAGAACGAATCCAAAAAGCTCGAGGTGCTTTCGCTGACTTACACCATCTCTGGCGTAGGCGTGACATCCGGTTATCAACCAAGGGACGTGTGTACTGCTCACCAGTTCGCTCCGTCCTTCTCTACGGCTCTGAAACATGGCCAATACGAGTTGAAGACATGAAAAGGTTGACTGCTTTCGATCATAGATGTCTGCGATCTCTGTCTCACGTTAGGTGGTTTCACAAGGTAAGTAATGTTGACGTTAGGCGTAGAGTGTTGGGCAAAGAGGGAAAATCAATCGACGAGGCTATAAAGTTACATGGACTGAGATGGCTAGGTCACGTGCTGCGCATGCCTAACCATCGCCTCCCCCGACGGGCATTGCTAGCTGATATAGGTGCAGGTTGGAAAAGAGCCAGTGGTGGCCAAACAAAAACATGGTATCAATCCATGAAATCCTTGACAGTTAAACTGAGTCAGGTAGGGAGATGCAGACTTCCGGGTTGGGGCCCTCGGGACTCTAGGAATCAATGGCTGGAGACAATAGGTGACATGGCTCAAAATCGTTGTCAATGGCCAGCGCAGATGTATTCAGTCTATGTAATCTTTCATATTCCTTTCTACCATTACCCATTCTGTTTCACTCTTATAATTGTCACACTCTATTGATTCTCTTCACTCGTCTTCTTGTCTACCTTTGTGTGCTATTTGGAATGTGGCAACTCGAAGTGGTGTGGTGCCAAGTTCTATGTTGAATCCAGACAGACAGAGACAGACAGATGATGTTCCCACCGAGGCTCGAACCCAGTGCCCATAGTTTCAAACGCCACTTGGGCCACGAGAGCCACCTCTTGTGCAAAGGGTCATATTAATTATTTAATGCTTTGGAGTTTGAAACTATAGGCACCGGGTTCGAACCTCGGTGGGAACATCATCACTTACTGACTGAGGAATGCAGGTACATCCAGTTAGCTGACGAGTCCCGAATAGGACGAAATGCGCATCCTGGCTGGATTCCATTGCTAGTCACCATCCGCCAATTAAATGTATATTTTCTTTAACAAAAACAAACAAAACATCATACCTTTCTAGGATGAGCTACAATTGTAATGTGGGCGTTATTATCCGTAGCAAAAGATCGTAATTTTTGTACAAAATTATCTTGACGTTGAAATCGCTCAATGAAATTACCGTCACCAGCTCCCAAAAGAAATTGAATATTATCTAGTACTATATGTTCTACACCGACATCCTTAATTCCAACCTCCATAGTCTACAATAGATACATAAAAACTCATTAGAAAAATATAAAAAATATTAGAGAAATCTATAAATGAATAAATCAATAAATATGTTAACTCTTTAGTATTCAATAACTTTAATGGTAGAATGCCCACCAGTCAGTTGTACGGGAGGTCACGATTCTATTCGCCGCCTCCGACGTACTCTTAAATCTCAATCCAGTTTACTAGATAGTAACAAGCTTGGGGAAAAAAGGAAGACTGGCAACCACATCCCATAAAAGCCACACCATTATTACTGAAACTTCAATAGTTTGAAGCTCTACGATGCTCCAATCGGAATGCTAAGATATGAAATCCACAATTTAGCTTCATGTGGAACAGATGATAAATAACAGACATCGAATCATAGTTGAGTCATAATCAGGATACTGATTGTCTTTAAACTGACATTGTTGTAAAGAGATTTTACAACTTCCGGTTCTCATCGCCATAATTGATAGTTTATTCAGGACTTGTATTAACCTGTTAATTGTGGTAAGATTAGTTTAGAAATCAAAATTCAATGATAGAATGCAACCAACAGTGATAATTGGACATAAAGAAGTTTAACAGAATACATTATTGATCATTAAGTGAAAATGTAAGTATAAGACAAAGTTTACTTAATTTGTAGGAGCATGATGCTTTAATGTCATTACATTTGAAGGTTTTATTATACTATCTCCTAACTCTTCAGTGATGAGTACCCACGAATCCAGTACGGATACAGATCAAAACGCATAAGTACATAATCCACCAATCACTATGTTGAAATCCCACAACTCAAACTAGAACAAAACGCACGACGCTATATACTACTGATTTGAGTAGTCGGACATCACTGACACCAACCAGTAGTGCTTACTAGCCAGACTGAGATATTGGACAACTGTTTCACTCTTTTAAAGTTGAACTCATCAGCGATATGACCGGTTTTACTCATGTCAGAGAATCGCACCAATTCACATCACCCAAATCCTGGCTACCTACCTACTTGGACGACCTGTTAATACATTGAATCAGACTTACACACTTTGCAGTTTACACAGTTCGAGGAGGTGAAATTGTACCACTATTTCCTTTGGAGACCAGAAGTAATTCCAGTAAAATGGATGTCCATTTGTCTATGTGAGACGGATGTGTGATAAAAACAAGTTTGATGTCAATCGATTCCACATAATCCACGTAAGCAAATATCAACTGACTCTTTTTCACAATTTTATTGCATGCAACTAAAGAGAACAATTATCTCTTAGTCAACAAGTAAAACTAATAAAAATTATTTCTGTCTGTTCTTAATCTAATGACAGTTGTAATTCAGGATGAGTAGAACAATCAAATTGAACTGACTTTTAAGAAATTGCAAGAATCCCGGAAGATTTTAGCATTATTTATCATTAGTTAACGTGAACTAAGTCGTCTAGAACATATTTCTGTCTCTGTCTGTCTGGATTCAACACAGAACTTGGCACCAAAGTGCACCACTTCGAGTTGCCACATTCCAAATAGCACACAAAGGTAGACAAGAAGACGAGTGAAGAGAATCAATAGAGTGTGACAATTATAAGAGTGAAACAGAATGGGTAATGGTAGAAAGGAATATGAAAGATTACAGAGACTGAATACATCTGCGCTGGCCATTGACAACGATTTTGAGCCATGTCACCTATTGTCTCCAACCATATATATTTCCCAGGTACCGGACTATGAGCGACACACTTATTGTGTAAGAACTGGTGATGCTTCCTAGTCGCTTAGGCTCAGATAGGTAGAGCGGAACTCGAACCCAGGACCCATTAGCTGTAAGTCGAGTGCTTAAACCAATGTGCCACTTATTCTATTGAATAAAGTATACAGTTTTTAGAACCTATAAGCTGGTCTATTCTATTTAATCAAAAACAGATGAAGCATATACCAGTGTACTGTTATGCAATAAACATTACGTTACTACTTTCAGCGGAAACGGTAATTTGAAATCGATTATGGCAATTAGTTCAAAACAATGCGGTTAAATTTCAACATGAGCGTCGGCGGCATAGCGGTTAGGATGCTCGCCGACCATGCATATGGTCCAGGGTTCTATCCTCGGCCGACACACACCTGATATCCACGGTCGGCCTGCTTAATTTAGGCTACCGATATCACATACTGAAAATTCCATACTTGTATCAAAAACAATGTATGGAGTCAAGTTATAATAATAATGTATCTGGTAGTTTGTTAGTTGACAAACGCGATTGCCTGGGACAGGCCTTCCAAATATCAATCTATAGGGCTGAAACTCAACAACTAGTTGCAGTTCCATATAGCTGGAGGTAATGAACCACACTCACTGGTGTGACATCTGGTGAAACTACCTGACTGTCCATACTTTGATAGATGGAGCGGGATTCAAGGCCGTGGCCAGTGTTGTTGGAAGTCGACGGCCTAGACCAATGACCTACAACTCCACATGTAGCAGGCTATGAGTAATATTTATTGAGTAAGGGCTAGGTAATACAATTTAATCGGCAAGGTTGAAGTAGATGGAGCAGAATTTCTCAGCTCAAGATATCACATTGCCGTCACCGTATGAAGAAAAGGTTTCAAAATTTCCATTTGAATAAATGATTACTAGTTTTTAATTAAGTAATCATTTTCATTAAGATTGAATTTCTCTCACTTAAAAACTACTACTATTGTTGACTAAGTTCTTCTTAAATTAGAAGACGTGTATAAAAAACCAGCTTATTTTTCTCTTACAAATGTGCTAACAGGCTATTATTACTGTAAATCCTATTCATGTCACACTTAATTCAAGACGTTGTTGAATCCTTTGGCTTTTAATTTCTCCACCTGTTTGTTTTTTCCAAGTTTTCTGAACGATGAATAGCAAGAATTAAATGTGATTGCAGATTCAGACTTTCAAATTTGTAACAGATGTATTTTATTTTGACTGAAAATCTCATAAAAAAAGAATAAAAGAGGAACAAAACAAGTACAAAGACCTGTATTATGGGTTTAATCATAACAGTATAAAGTGTTAAAGCAACTGTGAGAGTCTAAGAAATGGAAAAAAACATACTAACATTCTTTCGTAATCATATATATATATATATATATATATGTATCGAATTGACAGAAGTAGGAATTCATGGACCATTGGGTCGAATCCCAGTGGCTTAATGGCCTACGAGCTTGCCTCTTAAACTGGATGTTATGGACTCGAATCCCGGTGGATGCATACTGTTGAAGAGTCCAAAGCTATAACGAAATGGTTATCCAGTAATTCCAGGGTTTCAAGTTGTTTCCTGACTGGTGTCAGCTCATGATCAATTTTGTGACGGATCAAATCCCTGCAAACCAACATTTGATAATTTATTGTTCAGTAAATAAACAAACAGGGCTGTTTGTTAATGACAGACACAGCCTTCAGTGAAATATTGCTAAGAATCTTTAGAGTAACTCCTATGATATGGCACAGTATTTAGATTTGATTATATCGTACTATGTTTTCGTATACCTGTTGATCCGTTAACACTCTTGACAGCTGATCAATCTAGTATTCCTCATTAAAAATTTGAGAAATATGATACCTTGAAGGTGTGTATATGAACTCTGATGACAAATGACAACAAATACAAAACATTCCCTAAAATTTAACTATCTATTGAGTAGTAAATTTTAGTGAACCGTAATGCACAAAAGTATGATGTCATTTGATATAGTGATCATCGCATGCAATGTTCGTTTTTGTTTATACGAGGTGGGGTTGCTAACCTCACACCCGACCTTCCCTGTATACTGACCTTATTACCGGTTTAGTGAGATTTAGAAGTGTGTTGGCCGAGGATCGAAACCCTGACCAATTTCGTAGTTGGCAAGTGTTCTACCATTGAACCACCGACGCCCCAGTTATCAACAATTAAAGCAGTTATAAATAAGAAATACGGTATATCGATGAGTTTTAAGTAGTACATTTCATTTTCTTACAAAATATCATACTTTTTAGTCAACAGAAGTGTCTGAAACACGTACTAAATGAAAAATAAAAAACAGAGTGTTACTGGGTTGTGCGGTCGTGTCTAACTGCTCTATAATGCAATGCTATAACCAACTGATCACTTGGAAATATCTATCACAATTAGATAGGTAATACAATGGTCCGACTGGGAATAACGACGACCGAAACAACAACCGCTACAACGTTTTTAAGCAAAAATATATAGTATAGTACATTCACAAAACCTAAGGCACTTAAGCTATAAATAAAAAGTCAAATCTGATTGGTTCCCTGACCTCATGAAATTAAGCCATAAATGAACGAATCAAGATCGCCCAGTCAAGTCATCATGTCAGTACAGACACAAAGAAAATTTTTCGTCCCATCATCCAATCCATTTGTTAGTTTTATTTTAACAGTGAACAACTCTATTTTTCAAAGGAGTTAGGATGTTCTGTTGAAAAGTCACAAACTAAGACGCAACAGCTGTCTGTTACTCTCTGGTTTTTAGTGGTTCTCCAGCTTGCATCGATTTCTAATTTCACCTGAGATAAATTTGTATTTCCCCACTCAACTCGCACAGATGGTTTACACTTATTTTTGAAGATTAACATGTGCGAAGAAAAGGAATTAGGATTAAAACGTTTTCTTAAACAATAATATACACTTATAAGTATAAAAACTCAAACAACAAGATATGAATAACGTTTACTGATGGGAAGACGACTTTGATTCGACTGTTGTGTATCGGAAATGAAACAGCTCACTAAAAAATATTATGATATTGAATAATATCCAACAATTTGGAAAGCATTCACAATCTAAGTCCCATAATTTAGCACACAATGGTAATTCTAAACATCAGCGACCCAAACGAAGGATCGAAGTAAACAGACCGATCAGATTAGACCACACTAAAGACACGAAAATTTAGATGCAATGCGTGAATCACGTTGCAAGTTCCACTAAGAGGTACTATTTCAGTACTAAAGGGATAATAGGTTCATAGGAAGCCTTAAGATGTAAAGGAGTAATGTCGTTACAGAGATATGCAGGCGCTTCTGATGGATCTGTGTACACATGTCCAGCCTGTCGTTACGGAAAATCTGTCTGCGAATATAATGCCGTTCCTTTTTTATGTCACGAAACAAAGTGATATACGGTTATTTGGATACACCCATGTACGGAAATAGGTTTGCACTACCACTGAAGGCTCTAAAAGGGAATTAAGTTTTCCTGGGACACATACGACAGAATTACATCGAATAACTATTTTTTTTAACACTGAATTTGATGCCTACGGAAGAGGTTTTTAAACTACACTTATTTACTAAGCGCTGATCTGATTGGCTGATTAAGGCGATTGTGTCCGTCCAATTCAGTTCTTTGATTAGGTCAATTGTGTTTGGAGTGACCATTCTAATATCACTGAAACTTATAATTATCTTAAAATTGCTACGACATGCCTCATGCTACTTATAAGTAGTGTACGTATAAATTGTGGAATGTTTAGGGAGCCAGTTGATAAATACTTCTTACATTCCTTGCATTCAGACTAGAATATGGGGCATTAAGCTTTTGAAATTTTCATTATGATATTGTTTGCGTATGGCCTCACACCCAATCATTCTTCTTTTTGGACTGGTTACAGCCTCCAAAGCCTCAGGATGGTCGGGGGTGGGTGCCTTGCGCTGCGGGTTGGCCACCCCTCCGTACACCTCTTGAAATGCTCCCATATGACCAGGCGTCTTACATAGCCTCTCCTGAGGAAGTCCTACTTACTGCCTTTACGTGGCGGAGGTGTTTTTCACCAAAGTGAGAGGGCAAAAGCGGATGCCCGGCGCTCTTCACCGGGTTGACTGTCCATTGGATGACAGTCTAGGGGAGATGGCTAAACCCTGATTCCAAACCTCCAACGACTGGCGTATGAAGCTCACCGTCAGACGTATGGACAAAGGGCTTATTGGATGCCCTGGATGACTGGCCCCATTCAAAAAGGCGAATGAACCGGACTCCGGTCACCGGCTGACAATGGATAGTGGACTCCCTACTCCACTCCTACTGCCTTGTAGTTCACACTTGGTTGTGTAAAGGCTAGAGCTGCACTCTCAAACAAAAGGCCAGGCGATGCTGGGGACATCACTCGTACCCAATTCCCATGAAACTTCATGGTTCATGAAGCCGGCTCATCCTCCCGTAGGAGATAGCCGAAGTAAAGTAAAGTAAGTAAGTAAGTAAACTAAATGAGACTTAGGAATGCACAGGTCGGGAACAGAACCCAAACCCCCGCGCAAGAATGCCGAGCATTCCACCATTGAATAAATGATACGATTATAACTCAGTATTTTGTGGGGAATGAAAAGAAAACCCATTTCCAAGTAAAACATCGATTGCCCATAAATGCACTATCGATGAAAAATAAAAAGATAGCCTAAATAACCTGAAAATAAACAAATCAAGTTGTCAGTGAACAGTGAAATTACACCAAAATAAATGATTAGTAGATCCAAGAAGGCTTGAATAATGAAGTGAAATGGGGGAAAACCAAGATCTCAAGGTTGTATAGAATATATACCTTTCCTGTGATTTAACTGGATTGTATTCAGTGCCTATGATAATACTAGGGAGAAAATAAATATTATCAAAGCGATAATTACACATCTACCACAGAAGCTCATAAGCCAACAAGAACGACTGATGGATCCAACCCAGTATAAAATAGCCCACAATAATATCACTAAAAGTCAACAAACTTTCGGCACATTGAAACAAAAAATATAATAAACAATCACCGTGAATACTTAGTCTTGTTGCCTTTAGAAACACATTGTTTAAACCTGACAAAAAATAGACCATTCATGAACTTTTATTTTTAGATTAATCTAACCTGATAACTGATATATTTCAGCAAAAAATGCAAGGTAATCTCATGTGAAACATATGGACGAGTTTGGCGAAAAACAATTTACAGATCTATAGTATAATCAGCTAAGTTATAATGAACGTAGAATTACAATTTGCTGGACTATAGCTGGAATTACCATCTGGTTAGTATCAAAAATAGGATTTTTATTGATTTATGAAGGAGACACCGAAGGCATTGTAGTCCCGAATATATCACCAAACCCGGTGATGAGGCACAAAAGCTAGCAGAACACCAAATGATTTCCATCCTCATCCGAAAATACAAGTCTTTTCATTATTATTCTATGGTAATCTTCAGAATACGTTGAGAAACCTAACCTTGAGAACGGCATACTATCCCAGATTATTACTGAGAATTATACAATCACTAAACCTAAATTTTTGAACAACTGTTGCCTGGACATGTCTAAAAGTCAGTGGACCAGCGATTACTAAAATTACTTTGTCTTTAGGAATTTCTAAAACAAACAAGTATTAATGACGGATGTGTAGAATAAATTCTAAGTATTTGAAAACATCTAGCAGCAATTCAGTATTTTAATCGATATTTTTAATCAGGTCTGATTTTCATCTCCCCACCTTTCTGTTAATAGCTGGAGTATATTTAACTTTTTTAGCTCCTCAACTAATGTTAACTGTTAGGATTTGGTGAAATGACGTTTCTAATTTTCTCAGACCGTAATTTAAGTATTTAAAGAAAACTTAATGACTGCGAATCATACTGAATTAGACTGCAGGACACACTGTCTAGAACTCTAGTATTAGTGCTACGACTAACCCGTCATAACGTTATTCACTTGGTCTTATCCGAGCAATGCCAATAGCCCTTAGAATTCACGCTGAGAGTACAGAAGGGCTTCAAACCAGTTTCCGTAGGGTTGGAAATTAGATGTAATATGATGGTATTTGGTAATCCCTTTAAATGACCTAGTGTGAACTCAAAGGAGAAGCTGTCGACAGTGATAACGGTGATGACCAATTATACATAGCACAGACATGAAAATAAAAGCAACATCTTCATAAGTATCTCGTTCCTTAGAGAAGAAAGAATTTTATAGTAGATGACTTCAACACATAATAAAAAAAGGTTAATTCGAGCCCATAGGACCGATAATTCTGACTGCTTATCACCAAAATGTTTAAATGACCATCAATATATTATCAGCAATAATTTCGCTAGACTGCAGAGATAATGTCCCATCTGAAAACCAGAAACTTCAACAGAATAAACCGATAATCAGTTATGTAAAAATACACCTTTAAGGCAATTATTAGCTCAACTTGAAGATGAAATACAATCTACGTTTATAACACTACCAAATAAACGTCAATTTGTGCAGGAAAATTCTATCTACCCTGAAGAATATTACTATCATGCTCAGCTTTGTTAAGAGACTGAAAAAAATGAAGCGAACCCAACTCATAGAACATCTGAAAACAGTTCGGTTCGAACTGATTCAACGACAAAGGAAAACAGCTTAGACGGTAACCAAAGGATGTCCATAATGAATGAATACAATGAAGTTGATATCCTTCATCAATGTTAATTGATAATAAAAAAGCGATCTTTACAGCTACATCACATACATAAACAATAGACAAGGTGACGTGTTTGGGAAATGGTGCGTCAGGGGAGCTCATACTTATATGCTGTCAGTTTAACAGCTACAAACCGAGAGCAAATCTAGGTGTTAAACTAGGGTCTTATCAACAACAGTTGGGAAATCAGCAAATAATAGTGAGCATGTGTTCATTTCAATCTAAGATATATTTGGATTCAAGTTGTGATCCAATAGAATAAACAAAGCAACTAAAATCTTTGCAAAATCTTCACTTTTGGAACTAGTTACAAGTCACCTTCCTCAAACTAGCATAAAACTACAATGTTTTATAGGGAAAAAAGCCAGAAAAATAAAATATCTAGAGGCATACTCGAGGTGAGATGGACAATATGGTTAACATTCAATCTCTCCCTAAGTATTAGTTATTTGGGGAGAATCACATCATTAAATACAACAAAAACCCAAAGTCCATAATGCACAAAATGTAACAAACAAAATAATAGAATATGTAGACACGAACTGTACATAAAAAGGCAAAAGTTATGTTAGGCACCTTCAATACTTCTGCTACATTTTGAGTCCCATGCAGGTTCATGAAATAAATGGGAATATTTTGACTAAACATGCGTGCCCAATCTGCGATTCTACTAGGTACAGGTGGATCTAGCGGTTCACTATATGGACTTTAGTTGCCAAAAGTCACTGACTCACCCAGCAAATTGCTGAACTAACGTCTTGCACACTTTTCGAAGAGGCATTTCAAAACTACCCCACAATGTAGGGACTCCTTGCTCCGCGAGATCAAGAGAATATTCACACAGGAAAGTCGTTTTACCAACCCCTGTATTTCCAGAGAGAACTGTCATTTCATGTGTACGAAAACCCTTGAGAATGCGATTTAGTTCGGTAAACCTCGACCACTGCAATACAAACGATTAATATTTATTGGATTTTACTGGTATTCCTTTGAGTTCTGTCACTTTAGATAGTTCGTTAACCGTTATCCTTAATAACTCTCCATCCAGGCGCAAAACCCTACTCATCTGGGCCTCATGTGTCCTTCACAATCAAAAAGACGCTCTTACTTCACCTTCAACTGACCTTAGGTTGTTCTTCCAATATCCAATATCACTTTTACGAGCTAGTATAAAGCAATTTGATTTCTTTGTGCTTGCTTCTTGATAGTGTGGTATAAGTTCCTGATCTTCGGTAAACTCTCATTCAGATTGTTTCAGATTAAATAATTTTCTGTTGGAAATCAGTCAGTGGTCCTCTTCAAACGGTCTTAAGTTGAATCCGTCTTAATGTCAGGTAGTTAATTTTAGTTTCAGACGTAAATGTGACCTACAGCAACTGGTTAGCTCACATGGCCCCACTATCATTGACGGTACAGACGTTGAAAATACATCTAATGTCAAGTACCTTGGGCTGTTTTTCTGCCGATCTTTCCTGGTCTTTCCACATCTTGCTAGTTACTTGAAAGATGTTTCGCTTAACGTTCTACATTTGGAAATTTAGGCAGTCTTGCATAGAGCAGTCTTTAATTTCTTCTCAGTTTGTAAATTCTTGTATTCTACTCATCCCCCTTTACTGCTCCTCAATAACCTTTTCTGGACTACTTAAGAAAGACTTTGCTTTGCTCAGAAGGGCACTAAAAGCTGTTAGTAGGGTAAGTGGGATATCCTTAAACCAACTGGTTAACACTATTTTGGATATACATATAGTGCCATGTAAGAAACTAGCGAATACAATATTGTCAGACCCCGAGCATCCTCTCTTTACGCAGCTCTCTCCTTGCGTTTCATCTGGTTGAATTAGAAGCAGCTACAGGAGGCTATATGCTAGGACTACCAAGTACAAAAACTCCAAAATACCATATCTGACACAGCTGTTATATGATGAGAAATCCGTTAGGTATGACAAGACCAACTGAGTGCGGCACTCTAACAAATAGTCCCATTAGTTTTTGTTTTCCTTTCCTCGTTACTATTACACTGTTGTTCTCATCTTCCATCACACACCAATTTCATATTTCATATCCTGTGGTGCATTGATTAAAATGTAAACGCAACGCTGTTGTTTTTATTTCTTTTATTTATCTATTTCTTTTTGGTTGTTGCTTTTTATTTTCAAAATCTTATAAAATTTATGAGGTAATTAGATGCAATATTGTAATGCACGCTGAAATTTTCATATCTGTACCACAAATACTGTTTGGAATAAAGCTGTTATTATTATTCTGCGTAGTTCGTCTCGCCACTCGATTGTCGTAGCTTTGGTTGACTCCAAAAGGAGTGGTGCTGGGATTAATTATGTGTGGTTTGTAGCATAAGGTGTGTTAAGACTGTAACTACTGTGAATGGAGTTGATCCTTTCACCAGTTAGTCCTCTGGTATCGTCGTCAAAAGAGAAGAGATAATAATAATAATGCTAGATATAATTAGCGAAGTTATGCAGACTAACAGACAGAAAAAGAAATAAAGAAAATGTAACAACAGTCAGCTAATTAAATTTAAAGTAGCTGCTAAAAATTACATTGTTTCCGACAACCTCCAAAAAGAAACTTGAATTTTTCACCAACCATCTAAATAACATAGTCAAGAAAACAACAAAAGGCTAACTGTGAAATGCCACCTGCAATTCGTTATCTGGAAAATCGTAAACAGATAATAAAGAGTCCACCTACTTGAACTCCCTCTTTCATCTCCTAATAAAACTCCTGAGCACATTGAACTGACTTCTACGTACATCTAGTGTCATATAAGAAATGAACAAGGGACAGACACTTTCCTCCACTATAGTCTGTATTCATTTTGGATGAAATCAGTTTATCGCAACACACAAATCATCTTAAAGTGCAGTATTATATTAGTGAATCTGTTGAGCACGTCATTGTTTCTGTGACTTTGATATTCCACCTGATGATGTTCCAGAACCTGTGGCTTCTGCCTTCAGTGATACATGCTTGAACATCTTCGCCTTTTTCAAAGTTGATATGGCCTCCTAAACGTACAGTGATGGTACTTAAAAACAAATTCATTAGTGCATTCTGAGTGGAGATGAGCAGATATCTGGGTACCGGGCTTGAACGATCTCTCCCAGTATACTGAAATCCATGCTTCATGAATCCTGCTGTTAATATAATCGGCGGTATAGTGATTCCATAATTGCAAAATTTAAATACCTAGATACGAATCAACCTCGAAAATACCTTATTGCAGTCAAAAGCGCAGAATGTTGTAAAAGTGAAGGATATGTACTCTGCTTATGTGGTAACTGGCTCTGTATGGACTAACACATGTAAGCGAATTGCACAGTCTTTGTCAATTACCTGCCCCGGTTTATTTTTCTGCCATCCCAAGCCTTATGTACGATGGAACATCCAACTGGTGTATGCCTCAATGTTACTATTGCCTAGCTCTCTGCCTAATATTTTTATAGGGATATACCAATATTTCAACGTAGTGGTATTGAAGGACCGCATAAAATATGCTACATTGGAATGAAACCTTATGTTCATTAGCAAGTTTAGATCATCGTATGTTTGCCGAATGTTGTTCTGTTGGCACAGTAATTCCCAGAACTCACTATGTGTATACGGATACTAAGTTTAAACAGTTTTCTCTGTGATTGCTGTCCTTTCCGAACGATTTGTTTAATCCCAAGAACTTTATGCCAGTCGAATAGCCTTACAATTTTTACTCTGGCTGGACATGAATGAAGATTATCTGCTATAATATCTCTAGGCATCTGAAGAGCTACCACATTCTCTTGCTTGTTTCTAAAGGCTTCAACCGGGGAAATATGATCACTGATAAATATGTTGCAGACCATACCCTTTCATGTTCCAAGGCCCAAGAGGGGCCTGTGCCATCCTTCCTTGAACTACCACTCCACGAAGTTTTATAACAGTGTGTGCAACATCACTCAGCTTGCTCAACCATTCTCACTTCCTTAAATTATCTAAAGAATAGGACTTTACGCTGTTTTCCGTGCCTCTCTGATATCTATCCAGCTCTTGTGAAGCAGATTATGCACACATTCAGCAACCGCAATGGCAACAGTTTGCAAGTTTATTGCAATGGTGCCATTTACAGTCGCCCAGATATAATCATGACTGTTTACGGTGGCATTACTGTCGCCTAACAAGATGTAAAGTGGACTTCAGAAAATCACAAATGTTGGATAGGGATAAAAGCAATTACAAAATGTTCCCTTTTATATCATGGAAAATGGTACAAAAGATATGCTAGCTGAGAAAAAATCGATAAAAGAGGGCACAGTATCATTTTATGATCACCGAAAAATCAGTTACTGACATAGGCGGAAACTGGGATTGTGTCTCGACACAACACAGAACTACTGAACTAGATGACCTCAGGAAGATTGAAGTCCTTCGCAATCGTTTCGTCACTAAACGAGGGGGCATGTGCAAATGATTTAGCTAATAACGCATCAGTTTCTTCGGTTGATCATGGTGCTTGATAAACACAGCCTATGAGAATTTTGTACTTGTCTCCATGTTAGACGATCCAGAGTAAATCATGTACCTTTATTTCATGTAATGTGTAGGTTTGTTGACACGCTTACTCCCAGAAGGCTTATTGAATACAAAGTATTCTTCCCCATTATTAGATCCAGTCCTGAGAGGTTTGTTCGTCATGATGAGGATACTACGTTCGGATGAAAATTTCTTAGAGCAACTTGCATCAACTGTAGCTATTTTAGCACATTTCAGTGAGGCTTTATTCACAGGGATACTGGTATTCAAATCAGTTCCTAGTTCCATTGGCAGGCGGGTTTGTTGTTTAGTTTGCCGAATGCTACTGCCACTACTAGGTGATTGTTGCTGTACACTATCCACTGTTGGTAAATTTAAATCCAGAGGATGTGACCATGTTGTGAGAACTGTCCGCTAACCAAATCGGTAGACGGTAATTTACGTCAATGTTTACGTCCCAAATATTGGTCATGAGAGAAATAAGAACAAAGATAGACTCAACAACCAGTCAGAGCAGACTTTGGGTAGGCGGATGCAATTAGCATATAGATCATCTGACATTCAACAGACAGCCACAAAGAGATGCGAGGTTAACTTTCAGTGAGAAACCACTAATCAGAAGACTGTGCTTGTCTGCTAACAATAATATACAATAATGTACATGAAAGTCTATAAATAAGTGTTCATTTCCTTAATAAATGATCTGTTGTCTGACTCTTGCCTTCTGTAGTTACAACCGGATTACTGATACTCATTATTCTGCGTTGACACAGTGTTTTATCCTGCGCAATGGTTACAGACTTATAACTGCTATTCAGTCTTAAGTGATCCTGAAATTTAGTAAATTTACTAGCATCAAGAGAATTACTGAAATTAAAATTGATGGGACAATTATCCTGTATCAACTTTTTACGAAGTCTTTTTTTTCACATGGCATACTAACCATATCGCAACAATCCGGGATTTTGGGTTTTAAAGTCTTCGGAGACATCGAGTCCGGGATGCTGTAAACTGTAGCCTGGTGAGAAGAGGCTATACGCTTCATCACCTCCACAGCTAAGCAGTCAATCAGATTTTCAGCTTAATTAGGTTGTCTAGAGACACAGGATCTTTTTTAACAAGTGGCCTACTGGGTCTAAATCCGCAAGCTTGTTTTGAGCTACATCTAGTATCGGAACTGTTCTCCGTGATATTTGAGCGTGGCAGTGTCATGCTCTCAAAGTGATCTAACTTTTCCTGAAGTTCACTTGCTTGCCTCTGGATATCTTTCACAAGGCGGTTTAATTTACAGAACTCAGAGTTCTCTAACAGAACATCTTTCACCTGTATCACAGGAGTGAGAACTACACTGAAGCCATTTTGTGAGCTAGTAGCCGATACTGCGTTACGGGGCGGTAATGCAGTTATAACCACGGTTGAGCCACTATCTAAAACAACTGTGTTTCTACGAACACGTGTTTTGGAAATTCGGACCATAATTTTAAGGATTATATATCAATAAGCTATAAATAAATCTCAGAGAAAGCATTTGCAATAATATCA